TCTACCTTTTGAATCCAACATGATTGGATTCGTGGTAGATAGAATTTTTTTGGTTTTCTGGTCATCCATAGATGATCGGCCACCTTCTTCCATCTCCAACAATGGCACCCAAATCTTCAAAATCTTCTTCCAATTCCTTCCTAAAATTGTGGAGCTTCTCTCTCTATTCAAGCCGCGACTCAAATACCTTTTCTTTAGTTTTAAAATATTTGCTTATAAGTATACACATAGGGTTCTAAAAGATAATCCCCTCTATTGAGGGTGTTCTCTTTCGCAATCCTAATGATGATGTTGAACTAGAGGATGATAAGAAAATATATTCAAATCTATGTTTCATAGGAGTAGAAATCCAAGCATGTTGTGGTGGAGCTTGGCCACCTTACTTTTTAGTAAACCAGAGGTCATATTTATGTTCCAAAAAAAAAAAGAATAAAAGATTTTATTTATGTATTTGTTTCATTTATTATCATATATGGTGATAGATAAATTCATTTACATATTTTGTGCATCCTGATTTAAATCACTGAACTAAAATACTTGATTCTTTAGGATAGAGCCTTCTTATCATACACTCATCGGGAGATTGATTGTGTTTATTATGTAGCTAGCAACTCACTCTAGATAAGAATAAACCAATATTTTAAACTCCCTAGTGTGTCTTCTTTAAATCCTAAATAAATTCTAAGTCGATAATTCCTTCTTGGATGTTAATTTAAGCTTTGTTCTTTTAAACTCAAATTTTTAATCAAATCTCTATTAATTTAAAAATAGTCTAAATCTCATTAAAGATAAAGAGAAAAGCTTATCCTCTTTAGAATAAAACCTAGGAATCCCCTTTATTCACCAAACTAAGATGAGAATTATATAGAATCCTTATTTGAGAGTATTCTTAGGTTGAGGCCCAAGATGTAATTAATCATGGAGACTTGTGCCCATGCATAAGCGACACCCATATCAAACAAACTTCATCTAGCCTGATGTATCAAATAGGGAAAACCTTGTGACTATCAAGTTATGCATATTACTATCCATCAATATATGTACGTGAAATTCACTATTCTCCACGGATAATCGTATGCATAATTCCATCTACTCTCCCATCAACCTACTTTCGTAGAGTGTAAATACTTATGACCATTTTGTTTTACAGGATTTTGTGATTGTACGCTTTACATTCTGATCCCCACTTTTAGCATACTTTCAGAGACCTATAAAAGATAATTAGTCTAACATTATCTCTTAAAGGATATACACAGATAATGCCATTCTTGTAGAGGAACTTCTATGCTTCTTTAGAAAACCATCTAATTTAAGGCTTATGTTTTCAAAATTTGACAACAAAAAGGCATTTGACATTATGTCCAAAGATTTTATATTTGCAAGAATGGTACATAAAGGTTTTCCTCCCACCATCATCTAATAGATTAAATCATGTATTACTAATGTTTGGTTTTCTATTTGCATAGATGGCTTTCTTGATGGGTTTTTCACCCATCTTTTGGTCTTAGTTAAGGTTTCTCTTTGAGCTCCTATTTCTTTAGCATTAAGATGGACAATTTTTCTAGCCTCTTTGATAGCTCCTTGAATGAAAACTCATTCGATGATTTGAACCTCAAGGGGGTATGAATTGTCCCACCTTATGTATACTGATGGTCTCCTATTCTTTGGGAAACTAATTGCTCTAAACTTATTAAAATTATATGTACTTTTCTTAACCCCTATGACATGAAAGTAAATTTTGATAAAAGTTGCATTATTCTTACCCATTCTTGTCCTAAAGCCCCCGCCATTAGCACCTCTCTAAATATTTCAGCTCATTCCTCCCTTACAACTAGCCTCAGCTTCCCCATCTCCTAATTGAGAGCTCAATTAGCTAATTTCTATTCACTTTTTCAAAAACATTACTCACCTGCTTTCTAGTTAGAAAGCTAAAGCTCTTTCTTTGGTTTGTAGGTTGTAATTTCTGAAATTCACCATTTAAATTTTTTTTTTTTTTTTGCATTATATGGGCTTTTATTAAACCTAAAACTTATCTCAAGTCCATCAACAAGCTTCGTGCTAAGTTTTGTATTTTGGAGACATTACAACAAGAAAGTTACATCTCATCTCATGGTTTGACACTTGCAAGCAAGGGAAAAGGAGGCCTTGGTTTGCCTTCTTTCACTACAGGAAAATCACCCATTTCCGGCGGCCTTTTCCGGCTGTAATTGAACATTTTCCGGCGGTTTTGTAGTTTTCCGGCGGTTTTCCGGCGGTTAAATTACCGCCGGTAAAAACGGCGTAGGAAAATGAATTCCGACGGTTTTTTCCGGCGGCTTACCGACGGTCTTAAACCGCCGGTCAAATTAAAAAAAAAAAAACTGCTCAGTGATGCCACAGCCCCGCCGCTCCCGCGGCATCCGTGTTCCAGCCAGGTCCCCCCATCCCGCGCTCCCGCGCGACCTCTCCACGTATCCGCGCTCCGGCCAGGTCCCCCCCAGGCGGTTCCCGCGCTCCGGCCAGACCTCGCGCGCGCTCCCGCGCGTGCAGTGGGATTCGAACGCTGGCCAGACCTCCGGCGCGCCCGCGTGCAGTAGGATTCGAACGCCGTTTTGCTGAAGAAGTAAATATGTCTAGTTTGTCAATATTTATTATTTAAACTAGATCAACAGAAAATAAAAAAAAAGACTTAAATTATAAAAAAAATAAAACTAATTAATTTAAAATAAAAATAATATTTAATAAAAAATAAAAATAACTAACTAATTAATTTTAAGATGAAAATTAAGTTAATTATTTTTTTAACTTTTAATAATTTTTTGTTAAATCATTTAAATGATTAAAATTTTATTTATTATTATTAAATTTTTAAAAGCCGCCGGAAACGTTAAAAAGCCGCCGGAAAAGCCGTCGGAAATGTGACCGCCGGAATACCGTCGGAAAAAAGTTCAAAAGCCGCCGGAAACATGGCCGCCGGAAAGCCGCCGGAAATCAGTGATTTTCCTGTAGTGTTTGCAAACTCTTCAATATAGCTTCAATCGCTCCCTTATTTTCAAAATTTATAACTTGACCTCCTTTCTCAAAAGATTGTTTTTCTTTAGATACACCTCCCCCTGGTGCCCGCCACATCATGTTACTACTCCTTTGTGGAAATCTGTTTGTTCTTATAATGTCATGCCTAGAGAAAAATTTAAATTTAGGGTTTTGGATCAATGGTGCAATAGGGTATCCCTCTATGATTTTTCGATCTCTCATTTTCTATGGTGTTTGTTCCCCTCTAATGCTCGTAATTATGTGATTCTTAATAATTATAGTTTGGCTATTCTGGCTACTACTCCTACTCCCCTAGATGATGTAATATCCTCCTAGATTACTATTGGTTATCCTAACACTATTTTCTTGAAATGGGGACTTTATGAAGATGGAAACTTTTAGAGGGTTTTAAATGATTTCTATAATAGTGAACTCTCTCCCTCTTGGCGTAGATTTGTTGGGCCATAAATTTTATTCCTTTCATTTCTTTGTTTACTATTGGATGGCTATTGTTGGTGGGTTAAAAACATCAGATGCTCTCATGAGAACAAACATTTTGGTAGACCCTTTGTGCTCTCTGCCACTTATCCACAGCAACCACCACCCATCTTTTCTTCGAATGCAACTTTTTCTTCTCTGCGATTAGAGAGTTGATTCTGAGGACTAATGCTCTTCTTTTTAGGCCATGTCTACAACAGATTTTTGAGATTATTAATGATATGGAGAAATCGATAAAAAATGTTAAGAGCCTTTACTTTTTTATTAATTTTGCTTCTCTTTATTTCTTATGGAGAGAAAGGAATGATAGGAAATTTAGCATATTTTAGTACTCTTCTGCTGCAATTTGCCGCAATGTTAAAAAAGCTATCTTTCTCAAATGATAAACATGGAAAAAATAGAATGATATGCTCTAATAATGGCGGGGTTGATGGTGGGTGTCATTTTATTATGGCTTTTGGGTTGGAAATCCTGAACATATTGTTTCTACTTGGGGGCTGTTTGATTTTCTAGCATTGGTCATACGTACCTACGTATTTTTATGACCGTATATATTGTTTTTTCTTGCCTCGAAGTTAACTGATAGTTTTTGTTGCCCGGGTGTCTTTCTAGATCAAATTTCTGTTATCATTAGCTGGCTAGTTTTCTGGTGCCTTCCGTGATACAAACATATCTTTCTATGACTAACTTGGAGGGATTTTGCAAGCCTTGGACAATGATGACTTCCTTACGTTTTTTCAAGTCGAGCCCTTGGATGGTGTGGGCAACTAGTGATCTGTGAGATTGCCTTTTTGGAACTAAATCTCCTTTATATTATTGAAACCTGAGTCCTTACTTTTTTCAAGCTTTTTGTGTTGTAATGGTTATGCATCTCCTCTTGGAAAAAAATATTACGTGCGGGTCTGGATTCGTTCGGAGACCAATAAAAATGTGCCACGCCGCCCCAAAAAATTTACCGCGCTCGGTACCGAACGCGGAACCGAACCGTTCTCCTGTCTATTGTCCGCACAAAATAAACGCTCCATACATCTTTCTCATTTTTATGGTTCTTTTTCAAGCACTCGCCTATGTTCTGATAGTTGAGTATTTTTGGATAAGTTTCTTTTTTAGATAGGAGTACTGGAACTTTTATTTTATCCAGTGAACGTACGCTCCTCTACGTTCGGTTTAGGTAAACAAAGCGCCTGTACCGAATACCGAGTTGTACCGAGTTTTTTCAAAAGTTCAGAAGTACTGACCCCTTTTATTTGTATTTTCCTCAAATCTAATTTTCTATATATAAATGAAAGCGAAGCCCAAAATTAATTTAAAAAAAAACAGACAAGTAGGATCCATCACAAATTCACGATCAACCAAGTGGCAGACTTCACACCTCATGCCAACCTGTGGTAATGACGGAATAAAGACAAAAAAACAACTCAGCATAATTTATAACCAACGAAAGCAAAGAACACGCGAACGGGATAAAAAATCCAATCCACGTCTCTCTTCACAGCCACAACTCTTCAGATTCTCCTTCCCTCCCCACTCTCAACCACAAGTCCTCTGCCAGTCCGTCTCTCATCTCCGCTTAAAGTAACCACAGCACCCAAGCAATTCCTCCTCAACGACGAACTCTGCGCTTGGTCGAATATGGGCTGCGCAAACTCAAAACGACTCGATGCTGTGGTTGACGCTGACGTCTACCGGCCACCGCCAAACAGCATCGCTATCTTTGACATCACGAAGATAGACGAGCCCTGGCTACTCACCACTGTCCCCGTAGACGACCACATGGACAAGAATCCGCCAAAGGCAACCCCGGTGCCGCTTTCTTTGCTCGAGAAGCTCGATTCCTTTGAACTAGCTCCGAAGTCCTGGTCCGAGGTCAGCAAAGCATTGGAAGACCTCAAGCCCTCCCTCCAAAAAACCCCATCGCAACCATTAGCAACCTCCAGAAAAAGTCCCCCAATCCTGCCTCCTAGCAACATCGAACGCGCTTCTAATTCGCTTTCTCGGTCATCGCTACCAGACCTGGCGGGTTTTCGGTCAGTTAAGGAGAACATTTTCGTGGTGCGGGACCGACAGGAGCGGGAGGGCATGAAGGACCCGCAAGAGTTACAGAGGTGGAAGAGACGGGAACCGCTAGAAGGGTATACGGAGAGGCGGCCTCCAGGTAACTCAGACGGGGTTGTGCTTTACACGACGACGCTGCGGGGGGTGCGGCGGACTTTCGAGGATTGCCAGCTGCTGCGGCTGGTTGTGGAGGGGCATGCAGTTGAAGCCGGTCTGGAGGTTGACGAGCGTGACGTTTCGCTTCACGGGCAGTATTTGAAGGAGGTAAGGGAGCTCGTCGGGGAGAGTGCAGCAGTTCCAAGGCTGTTCGTTGCTGGGAGATATGTGGGCGGGGTTGAGGAGGTGGTGGAGCTGGCCGAAATGGGGAAGCTTGGGGAAATGATGAGGTGGGTGGGGAGGAGGTTAGGAGGGGAAGAGGTGAAAGGGGGAAGGAGAGATTGTAGTGGATGTGGAGGGGCGAGGTTCGTGCCTTGTACTGAGTGCAGCGGGAGCTGCAAGATCGTGGCGGAGGACGGGAAGCGTGTGGTGAGTTGCAGGCTGTGTAATGAGAATGGCCTTGCGCTGTGTCCCATGTGCCATTGAGTAATTTTTGTATTATTTCTTCATAATTAAATATCTACTATTATTAATAGAGATTTGTTGAAATGTGAAATTTAAGCTAAATTTAAGTTTACAAATATTTATAAAGGATTTTAATTTAATTTCCTTCCTAAAATATCATTACATATTGTCAAAAAAATTTCCTGACAAATAATTAATGTTTCAAAAATCCAAAATGTTTAAAAAAAATTTGGAAAAAAAAAGTTGTTAAAATTTGATTAGTGATAGAACTGGAAACGATTAAGTTTTAAGATTTAATAGTTCGACTAATATCGAATCGGATAATGTAATAAACATTAAAAATATTTAATTGATACTTAAATAATAATATAACTATATAATAATTATGAAATATTATTTATCATTTAATTATTTAATTAAAAAGAAGTTTAAAACTTTAAAGATATAAAATAATCATTTCTTATCTGAATAATTATAAATTTTTGAATTTTTAAAACTATTATAATCAAATTTTTATTTGAATATTATTTATGAAATATTTTTAAAATTCCTCTTGAAAGCATTCTATCCTCTACGGATTGTAGAAATTTGTAATAGTTATTTAGTCACACATTAATTGCGAGATTTGTATTGTTTTGCTTATATAGTTTTTTTTAGAATTCATGTGTTAAGAGGGCATATAGAATGATAGAATCGTGTGGGTATGATTTGCTAGTACTTAACAAATATTATGAATTGAACCATTGATTTTTAAAATCAGGGCTGGTTTAGTAGTTGGTCTGTTGAAGTCATATTTCAAATCGATTCTCACTGATTTGATGATGGAATCGCTTTTCATGGTTGAACCAATTGAACCGACTAGTCCGGTTCTTTTTTCAAAACCAAGCAAATAATACATTATTATAATCATTTCTTTTATAGTAAAATTTTTACTATTTGGAAATAAGTCTTTTTAATTATTGATATAGGCTCATAAGAATACAAATTCATTTTCAAAATTAATAATAATCAAAATAGTCCTCATGAAAAAATTTGGATTAATTTCATATAGGACTTTTGCTTCCCCTTTCTAATGAATGAAGCTTGGTATAGTTAGCCATTGAAGACTAGCTATATAATGTTATCTTGATGAGGAATAATTCTAATGAATATGTATACGAATAAATTAAATTCCTTCACTGATGTTTTAGTAAGTAATTGCTCGATCATAACAAAGCAATTCACCCATAAAAGGATAACTTTTGGGAACTCATTAGAATCAACTAGAAAGTCTACCTTGAGTTGGGTGAGTTCGGGACAGTCCATCAATCAAATTACTTGTTTCTTAGTAACATTGCTATCGTTAGCTCCCAGTGCATGATCATCGCCTCTAACCCGAGTTCACTTACATGAAGGCTTTCGTCATAGGACATGTAAATCTTTCTACCAATGCTCACCATTGTGTTAGACTCTTATTTCCTCAACACACGTCTACATATTCTCCCGTAGCGATCCATGACTTAGTGCAATATCATAACGCTCAACCGATCTGCCACTATATAACTTGTCCAACCTAGTGCCAACCCATAAAACACTAGAGTTTGCCCTCTTATAACACATGAAATTACTAAACTAGCTCAAACATGAATCATCCACCAAAGCTCTCCCACCAATTAGATTGTAACATGTGTATACATCGGTGTAGCATCAAATATGTAATCAATTTAGCAATGTTATATTATCTTTTACTATCTTACCCTCTATATAGCCCCCAAAATTCTATAAATAAGGGGTGATTCATACTGTATAAAAAATATAAAAAAACTATCAAAAGATGTCTCTTTGACAAATAGGAAATTTTATACTTGTCTAAGAGCTCTAGTCCGCCTCTACTCTTCTTCTATATTCTTTGATCTAACTTATAAGTTCCTTTGCTCTCTAGTTAAAACTACTAATAAAGTAAAGTGTTTTCCATTGACCAATTTTGACCCATCATCCTCTTACGTACGATGACTGTCAAGTGATATTGTTAACAAAAATATATATAGATCTTATAGAATGAGCAACGTCAACAATAATTATTAAGTGAAATTCATGTTCATTTTATTATCTTAAATTCAAGTACAAATGTTTGTTTTTGTTGATGTTGTGCATGAATATCTTAGAAGAATGCAAAATTATTAATGATAATAAACAATGTCGTAGCGCCCCAAACTTCATCATCATAGCGCCTTCAACGCCCCAACACCAAAATATGACATTACTATATTAGAGCCTCAGGAAAACTCATATTTTATTCAATGCTAGAAGGAACAAATCTCAATGCTCCAATGCTACCCATTGCCTCAGTATCACAAATGAACATTGCGGTGATAGAGCCTTAGGAAAAATTATATCGAAGAACCAACCTCTAAAGCATCAGAGTGCTGATTGGTGAATAAAGTGTCATAACGCCCTTCTTTGTGCAATGCCATGGTGTAACTTTTAATAAAATAAGAGCCATGCTGGATTAGCCAAGCATTATGCCATGTTAACCATTCATTGCGCTTGGATAACCCAACATCGTAGTAGAGCCAATTTAGCATAGCAAAGGCATTATTTTATATTTTAACAATATGATGTCACCCTATTGAGTGTCATGATGCCTGAGCTTATTTTTATAAAATATATTTTTTTTTTTCTTTTCCTTAGAGTCCAGTTAAAGTCCTGATAGTGTGCTGTGATATGCTTTTAATAGAGTGGATGGTCATCAATATAAGAAAAAAAAAAAAACACTTAGGTGTGAAAAGGAGTGTGGAGAGCAAAAATATGGTGAGTGATTCACCTATGGAAGAGTCCATCTATAGGATTTATTTGGGATTCTCCAATTCATGCGATATTTTATGCATCTCTTATATTTGTACATTTTCTTGAGGATGAAAAGAAATTTATTTTGTTTGAGTTTAATTCCTTCATTAGATAAAATCGTCATTTTAGAAAGATGATGTGAATACCTTTGCGTATCCTAATATAGACTCTTGTATAAAATAATGAATTATTATTCTCAATTGCTCTAATACTTAATATAATTTGTGTAATGGTCAGATATTAATTTAAAATCTAATGTTATACATTACCTCGATGGAGGAATATTGGAACAAGAGAATTGGGATGAAATACTTGCATGCCTAGATATAAGATGTTTATTATTCTTGGATCTTTAGAGATAGAGTTATTATAGAGAGGCCATAATCTTTTTTTTACATACAAGCTCAATAGAGATCTAGTGGTGTAAATACTCTGATTCACAACTCCGATAATGAGTATGCTTATTAGTACATTCGATCATTCACTATCATAAGTCTAAATCATCTATAATTCCCTTTATTTGCTTTTGTTTCTGCATTTCTAAGTAGAATCATTAATTACCTATTTATTTCATTATATAGGATTAATTTAGTAGCTTTAGATAGTACTAGAGTCTTTTACTGCATAATATTTCTTTTGGGAATGGCACTCTCGCATACAATTTATTACTTAGTCAACACGTGCACTTGTATTATTGTTATTTTAATGTCTTAACAGATATATGAAAGTTTGTGAGGGTTATTAAACCTTTATAAACTAGTCCGAGGCTATCCAAGAGGGGGTGAATTAGTTTTTTAAAAGATTACTTAAGGTAAAAAGCAAATATTTTTTAAATCATTTTTTATATTTTAAAATAAACAAATTGTATCCCATAATGCATAAGTAAATCTAATTTCATAATATTTGCAAACTAAAACCGTTCTTCCAAAACACCACAGCATTTATCACAAGTAGTCCAGACAATATTGGAATTAGTAGAACAACCTTTCCAAAAAATTTAATGATGAGCTTATGCACTCTATTGCAAACTGCTTGAGTCGGAAAAATAGTTTGAAAACTATAAATTGGTAAGGAACAAAGAACACTTTTGATAAGAGTAACTCTACCACCAAAACTCAAAAAATTAGAATCCCGAGATAAAAGTTTATTCTGAATAGAGGAAATACGATCATCAAAGAGAAAAGTTTTCTTTCTACCTTTAAAAAGAGGAACACCAAGATACTTAATAGGTAATTGGTCATGCATAAAATAAGTTAAATCTTAAATGGCAATAATATGATCATTGGTAATTATGTTAGAAGCAATAAAACAACATTTTTTTTTTGTTAACAGATAAGCCACTAGCCCTTTCAAATTGATAAAAAAAATCCATAAGTTTTTGAATCCTATTAATAGAAGCATTAGTAAAAGTAATAAAATCATTAGCAAATCATAAATAAGAAATGATAAAACCACCCAACGTTCTAAAATAAAGACTAGAAGTATTCTCAAAAAGATTGGTAATTACCCTAGATAAGAATTCAACTGCAATAATAAAAGAGCAAGAGAAATAGGATTACCTTATCTTAAGTCGTAAGAAGATTTACAATAACCATCACTAGAACCATTCAAAATAATATAGAAATAAACACCTTAAATAAAATTCTTAATAAGGTTAATAAAAAAGGAATTAAAGCCAAAGAAATTTAGAATGTGATAAATAAAGGTCCAATCAATATTGTCATAGGCCTTGGTAATATCCAATTTAAAAATTAAGTTACCCCCTCTAACCCTAACATCTAGGTCTTGGCAAAAATCTTGGGCCAATAAAATATTATATGGAATGGACCTCCCAATCATAAGCCCCATCTAAGAAGGAGATATAATTCTAGGTAAAATAAAAGTAAGACGATTCATGAGAACCTTAGAAATTAATTTGTTTAAAAAGGAACAAAGGATAATAAGTCTAAGATCCTTCCAAGTACTAACAAAGTTTTTTTTGGGAATAAGCACAATAGAAGTAGAAGTAAAAATTTAGGAATAGCATTACCGGCAAAAAAATCCAAAACGACAGAGAAAATATCATTATTGATAATGTTCCAAGTTTTTTGAAAACCTGAATGATAAAACCATCAGGCCCAATAACAGAGTCAGTATTCAAACCAAAAAATAGTCTCTTTAACTTCCTTAAGAGAAGGAGGTTTGAAAAGATTCTCATTATCCCCTTAGAATATAAGACTGGGAATAAAAGAATGTTAATAATTTGACCAGGACAAAAA